ACTATCTTCAATATGTACACTTTTAGCTTTAAATTGCCACTAATGAAACTGCCCTCAGTTCTGCATGAATCTAAAGAGCACACAGACAATATAATAATACTTATTGCAAATTCTACAGTTACTATCGATACTAGTGTAAGTCATACTGAACTTTATGTGAAGGTAATTATTTTTTTTATCAAACATCAAAGATTTAGATCTAAGCTAGGCTTTTTAGGGAATAATACCCAATAACAGTAAAACATAAACTCTCATGAATTCTGGACCTTTACACAATACACAGTTATCTCTCCTCGTAACCTCGACCGATGACCAAACAGTAATTTTAGCAATGGAGCAATATTTTCTTTATATAGATCCCTCTAAACTGAGGGGTTAACAGTAAATCAATGATTTTCCTATTTATCTTAAGCATTTTTCCTGAATAAAGTATCTGATGACACAAAAATGGACTTTCAAAATGAAAATATCATTAACTTGAGGGGAGGGATAGACATACATATCTTGCATAAATAACTGCATATTGACAACAATGTCTTGACTAGATGAATTTCTGTGCAAATGCTGTGTTATTTACAGTCTTTCTTTCAAATCTTAACATTATATAAAAAAGCAATGGGTATATTCACATCAGCACACACCATCACTATCATATCATAAATTATACACCTCTACAGTAAAATTTGTAGAGTTACAGTGAATTCTGTAATTCATGTCTTGAGTTAGAATATAAAGCAAACAGGAAAATATTGTAACATTCTACTTTACACTTACGGAGAGCCATTCCACAATTTCCTGAGGCCACACAAATCTCAATGAAAATGCATTCATATTTACACTAAGTCTTGCACTTCAAAATTACTGCATCATTTGTCTAAGTTGCACATGCATTAGCACCAGACAGTAAGTCTTAGAAAGGAAGCGGAAAAATAATAACATATTCAGGAAAGAAACTAGGAAAGAAAACGAAAAAAAATGCCAATGCATAACAGAAAGTAAGCAACAGTCTCTTCCATTTCCATTTTTACCATTCAGCATTACCATTGTGTAAACCATCCGTTTTGAATCTCACATCTGAAATACACGCCTCCTATTCATATTAGTATATCCTTCAGATAAAAGTCTCAAAACCAGTTGTACACAAGTTGGAAATGCTAAGTGAAAGGGACTGAACTTCTAATAATAAAAACAAATCAATGAACTTATTAGAAAAAAAACAAGGTAAATATCAAATACACAATCTTCATGTCCTAGGACGGCTTCTACAAAGTGCTAATAAATATAAAACTTTTATATACCAAAATAAAAAATACAACTATTACATACACTACCATTGCAGAACCATTCCTTTGCAATTTTCACATCCAACTAAACATCAAGAAAAAAGTAACTATTGGCTTCTTTAACAAGCATTGAACTGATAACCTGAATGGCTTAGTTATGTCTTCTCATGCAAGGAATTTTATCTACATGTAATCATATAATAATTAGGAGCAACTTTTCATGCCACTTCAAGACTCTCTATTCTCATGAACAGTCTTATTTCTATTTTTGTTGCTTACTACATAACATACACCAGGATTTACAGTTACACACTCGTTTATATGATAATTAAACCACTCTTTATTTGTTAACATAACACACAAATATATAAATGTTTATTAATGTAACATTTCAGTTCACACTTAAAGTACATTGTTACAATGAACAGGTAAAAGCTGTCTAGTTTTAACTGCATATTAACATTCACTTACATATAGAACACAAATATTTAGCTTCATTCATTCTTTGGCACACAGCCTCTCCACAGACACTAAAATATACAGTTAATACTCATAAATGTTCCTGAATATCTTCCTTGACAAAAGGTTAAATAACCCAACATCTGCTGCTGTCAAAAGCCAAAATTATAACAGTATTCCCCTTTAAATAGTTGAATAATATATGTCTAAATATTAGATATACAATTATAATGCTCTTCAGTCATGGTCCAATAACACCCAATATAAAGATGGTCCAGCATAAATACCCTCTCTTTCTTGAGTGAATAAAATATTTGTTTGCCCCAAATATATAGACAGTCCTAATATATTAAACTTTAATAATCTTAATCATTGTGAACAAGATGTTTGATGTATCTCTGCATTGAACCATAGTCCATGCTCATCGTTCGAGTCTGATGACCTTGATGAGCCAGGAGGAAGTCACTTGTTGGAAGAGATGAGGAGATATCATCGCTCTCCCTTGAAGATTCCCTGTCCTCTGACTCCGTGATCTTTAGCTCTAGGTTCTCTTTCTTTTCAGTCTGTTGCCAAAAAGTGAAGTGATACTTTAAACACAATGGCAACATTGACTTTGACCTGATACATGAACTGAGGCCATATCTCAAACTAATCATATTATTTCATTGTGTCCAACACAACACTAGGCATTTTTTGCCAACTGGGTTTAAAACATAAATAGAAAAGTATATTTCAATTTTTCATTTGTGGTATTCAAA